CGGTGAGCCTCTGAACTAAGAGGGGAAATAGAGGAAGGAAAACCTCGAACAAAAACCCGGAGCCTCTCAGCTTCGTTAGTCCTTCTTGCCGGGACAACTGGGATAGGGGAGTAAACCCTGACTTCAAATCCGGGGACGTCCGCCCTCGTCAGCCACGGTGCAAGCGGAATAGGGGAGTAAACCCTGACTTCAAATCCGGGGTTCCCAGCTCCGATAGTCGCTTTCGGGACGGACACTGGGATAGGGGAAGGACAACCCTTACTCCAAACCCGGGCAGGCCAGGCTCGTTAGGTGTGCAAGCCAACCGGCCTAGGACAGGTCAAGTCCGATATAAAACCGCATCCTTAAAAAAGCATGGAGATGTCGCATAAAGAAGAGAAAGGCTTACCGGACCAGGGGATTCGAACCCCCAGGTCCCGGCACGAGGCTAGTATCGTCCCGGCTGGCCTCGGGTCGTCATCCCATGACGGGCCTCGTAGCACCTGCACCAAAAGAGTGCTGCGAGATGATGCGCCTGCGAAGACTGGTAAGAGTGTCTTACCAGTTGTACGAGTCGTACGATGTGACTCCCCGGTCATTGGCCCATCCAGGGCCCGCGCTCCCAGGGGAGTCGGGTCCGAGCCCCGCACCCTCCGGTCGAGGATGTGGTATAGCTCGGATGAATCGGGAGGCGAAGAGCCACACGCAGGGGAACACCATCTCCCCGCGCACCCCAGCCAAGCTTCGCTCGCGGAGCCCTCAGGCAAGTCTGAGTTGGCTGAGGAGGCCACGCACTCCCCACTCCCTCCTGATGCGGACTCCGACATTGAGCCGGAGATCGTCTCAGACACACAGGGGGGAGGTGCCCACGACCATCGGGCGTCAAAGCGGTCACCGCAACCTCTGCCTCAGAGGAGTTCCAGCGCGGTGAACCGCAAAAGAGGACGAGGACGGCCCCCAACAACCGGGGAGTACGTTGGCCTCGCGGCGGCGAAACGCCAACTTTGCGAGGCCGAGCGAATGGAGTGGGAGCTCCAGGTGGAGAAGGAAGTCACCGGGGAACTTGCGGCGCTTCGTATCCCCACCCGCTCCAGCCTGGACATCCCCTCGCAACAATCCGCGAGAGACTCCTCTCCCTTGGCCGAGATAGAGGAGCTGCCGACATCGGAGGTGGTCGCTAAGGCTGCAAAAATGTCGGCAGCGATTAAGAAGATGGCGGTCTCCTCTAAACACCTGAAAGGCACATTTGTTCGTGGCTTCAAGGAGGCGGCCGCCGGCCTGGAGGAGGCGGTCCGGGTGGTTGCCGCCCGGACAAATTCCGACGGGGAAACCCGTCGGCTTGAAGCCTCCAATAGGCGGTTGATGGAAGATGTCGCGGAGCTCCGCGACACAGTGGCGTACCTGCGTGCTGATAGGGGCGCTGTCCAGGCCAAGCTGGACAGCGTCACCGCAGAAAACGGGACGCTCCGTGCCGAGGCGGACGCTCTGCACGAGGAGCTCCGCGACCTCAGGCGGGACCTCACAGAGATGAGGATGGCCCGCCTAAAGAAAGGGAAGGAGGGGAAATGGGCGACGGGAGCTCCAGCCCGGCCGTCCCCCTCTGTACCCTCCGTGCAGCGCGGCGGTGATTCGGACGGGGGCGGTGAGTCCCGTGTGGCTCTC